AAAAATCCTGAAAAAAACCCACGAAAAATTAAAAAAAAAACACCGAAAAAACACCAAAAAATGCTGAAAAAACACCAAAAAAAAAAGAGAAAAAAAACACAAAAAAATGACACAAACTCCACAAAAACACAAAAAAACCCCAAAACAAACAAAAAAAAAACAACAAAAAACCAAAAAACCCAAAAACCTTTGGGAGGGAAAAGAAAAAAAATCTGAAATAATAATAATAACAATAACAATAATAATAATAATAATAATAATAATAATAATAATAATAATAATAATAATAATAATAATAATAATAATAATAACTTTATTATTATTATTACTATTATTATTATTATTATTATTATTATTTCCAATAATTTTATTTTTTCCCCCAATAATTCCATTTTTTCCCCCTATAATCCCAGTTTTTTTCCCCCCTATAATTCCAGATTTTTTCTCCAATAATTTTATTTTTTCCCCCAATAATTCCAGATTATTTCCCCCTACAATTCCAGATTTTTTTCCCCAATAATTCTAATTTTTCCCCCTATAATTCCAGATTATTTCCCCCAATAATTCTATTTTTCCCCCAATAATTCTATTTTTTCCCCCTATAATTCCATATTATTTCCCCCAATAATTCTACTTTTTCCCCCAATAACTCTAATTACTTTTCCCCCATAAATCCCCATATTTCCCCCAATAAATCCCAGATTTTTTCCCCCTATAATCCCCTATATTTTCCCCTATAATTCCCTATATTTCCCCCATAAATTCTATATATTTCCCCCATAAATCCCATATATTTTCCCCAATAAATCCCAGATTTTTTCCCCCTATAATCCCCTATATTTCCCCATAAATCCCCTCTATTTCCCCCATAAATTCTATATTTTTCCCCCATAAATCCTATATATTTTCCCCAATAAATCCCCTATATTTCCCCTATAATCCCCTATATTTCCCCCATAAATCCCCTATATTTTCCCCATAAATTCTATATTTCTCCCCCATAAATTCTGTATATTTTCCCCAATAAATCCCAGATTTTTTCCCGTAATTCCCCTATATTTCCCCAATAAATCCCAGATTTTTCCCATAAATTCTATATTTTTCCCCCATAAATTCTATGTATTTTCCCCAATAAATCCCAGATTTTTTCCCCTATAATCCCCTATATTTCCCCCATAAATCCCTTATATTTCCCCATAAATCCCCTATATTTTCCCCAATAAATCCCAGATTTTTTCCCCATAAATCCCCATTTTTCCCCCATAAATCCCCTATATTTCCCCCATAAATCCCCTATATTTCCCCCATTAATCCCCTATATTTTCCCCAATAAATCCCAGATTTTTCCCCCAATAAATCCCAGATTTTTTCCCCAATAATTCCCATTTTTCCCCCGATAATTCCCATTTTTTTCCCCCAGGTCTGGTGTCCTCGGAGCCCTCCAGCCTGGAGCATTTGCTGGCGGGGGAGGGCGGGGGTCGCGTCGCCGTCATCGCCCTGGGGGGACCCCCCGAGTCCCTGGAGGCTCAGCCGGGGGCGCTGCGGCTGCAGCTGCTGCG